CGCTCCCAGTGTGCTCGGTGATCACGATCCCACACGGGGCGATGCACGGCCCACACGGGACGACGCGCGGCATCGCAACGAAGGCCGCCATCTCGCGCAAAACGGGAAGGGGGCGAGGAGGAAGACGGCGACTCACTACGCCACTGCAGCAACGAAGGCGGAACTGAGGCAAAGAGGGCGGGGGGGGGGAGGGCGCGCATACATGAAAGACAAGACGGGGCCCAAGGAGGCGTCGTCGCAAGTCCGACGCGGCTGGCAGGGCGAGCTGCTGAGCCCCCTCGCCCGAAAGGACATCTTTAAAAGCATCGCAAGCCAAGGGCGAGCGCCGCCGGGCGCCCTCATGCATCCACTTGCCTACTGGTATTGTGCGATGGGCGCCCCCTGAGGGCTCCGCGCGGCCACCGCGCGCTCCCTCTGTTTTTTGGCCAACCACTCGGCGTTGACCACGGCGGCCATCTCATGCAGGAAGAATGCGCCAGTCAAGCGGTCCATGGCACGCACGACGAACTTGTGCCTGCCGATCCGACCACATAGCTGTTCGCACGCTTGGCTGTTGTGCCCCTCTATGTACTCTTTGTTGCACTCTGCCTTCGGTGAGCAGTTCGCCAAGCACCACGGGTCGACGTGGTTCCTGTCGTGTAGCCCATCCGTGATGTATTGCATTGCAGATTCGGGTGCGCCATCCTGCCAGCCAGGGGGCCGTCATCCTTGCGCTTGGATGTGCACCTCCGCAGGTGGCAAGCATCATCGTGCCTGACCACGTGGATGGCGGGCGCTTTCTCCACCAGCTCAGCAAGGAAGAAATATCGTTGCGGTAAGCTTTCCGAACCGACGTATTCCTTCAGATGGAGAATGTATCCCTCTGTGGCGCATGCGTAGAGCCACCCGCATCGCTTCCCCCCGCGGCGGGTCGCCTTCCCAGGCGTCTTCTCCTTGTGCGTCTTGCACGACACTGCCGTCAGATCCGCCTCTGGCGACGCGGTCGGGACACGCGCGCCGCTGCCGACCTTGCTCCAGTAGTCTTGCAGCTGCCCCGCCGTCGCGTTGCAGGCCGCCGTCCAACGCTGCCTAAAACGCCGGTCTGGCTGCCCGTGCTCATGCTAAACACACATCGTAAGGCTCAGCGCTTGCGCTCGACTCCAACACCCGCCGCCGGCGATGACCAACGATAGTTTCTGACTGCGGCGGCCCAGCGGCGTCCCCAAGGTCCCGAATCTGGTGCTTTGAGCAGCATTTCCGCCCGAACGACGGCTTCTCGGAGCACTGGGTCGCAGTGCGCTTGCCCGGCGGCGAGCACTGCGTGAGCTCAGCCACGTCCCGGCCGCAAATCCGCCGCGCCAACTTGGCGTTCCCGTCGATGACTGCCACGGAGGGGGCAATGCCGTTATCGGCAAGTCCTCGCAACCGTTCCTGGCACATGAAATCCGGGTACCACGTCCAGATATCCTCCAAGGCCTGTGGTGGGCAAAGCCAGATTCAGGCCGCCCAAATCGGACCTGTGCTGGCATGCTCGAACGAACGACTACACGCCATGCGACCCAAGCTTTCTCTGACTTCAAGTCCGCTCTGTTCGGCACTCTGTCAAGATCCCCCACACGGGCAGCTTCGCGCTCGTAGACGACAGCTTCACTTTGGAAGGGCACGCGCTGTCGCGCCAAACGCTCTGTAAATTGCCGCAGCCACGCCGTGGACACGCCCCAGCTGTTCGCCACGAAGAAGTAGTCCATCTTGTCAGAAGGGCCCCAGCGCCACATGTGTTTCTCTTTGGTGTCCGACGCGTAGTTGTACCACACTCGTTTCCCATGCATCTCACAATCGCGACACATGCATCTGAGTGGCGCGTGTTGTCGCAACTCCCACCCGCCCACCGTCAGAATACTAGCTGTTACCGCTTCCGAGTGGCAGATGGAAGTCATGGGTCCTCTACAGTGGCCGCGCGTCCTCCTCGGGTGCACTATGGTGTCCCCTGTTTGCAGCTCCATTGCCAATTCGCACAGTTCTGGGTGCTACTCGGTGCGCCTCGCAAGCAGGACTGGATAGCGGCGCAATGCTCGCACCTGCCTCGCCGTTTGAGCCTACACCGTTGTGCCAATGCACAATGCAGATGCGGGTAGGATGTGGTCGCGGAGGAGTGGGAAAGGATGGGGGACCCGCATGCGATGCGAGGAGCCCCAAGACGGCCCAAGAGAGCCCCAAAAGAGGCCCAAGAGGGCCCCAAGAGCGGCCCAAGAGAGCCCCCGGACGCTCTTTTTGAGCCTCCGAGGGGAGGAGCTGAATTTAAGACCCCCCCCCTCTGTTGAGCTATGGGGCCCAAGACGCCCACAAGAGACCTCTCAGACCCCCCTCAAAAAAAAGACCCCCAAGAGGGCCCCAAAAAGAGCCCCAAGAGGGCCTCAAGAGGGCCCCAAGAAGACCCCAAGAGGACCCCAATAGAGCCCCAAGATGACTCCAAGAGACCTCCGAGAACCTCTCACAACAACACTTCAACTCGCCTGGGCATCGTTGTTGGATGGGCTGGCGGGGGCACTCTTCCGCTATTCGCGCCGATGGCGCGCGTGCCCTGAGAGCCGCGCTTTTCCGAGGCCCTCGAATGGAAGATTGCTGCGGGCGGCGCAGGCGGTCGCCAAGTCGCGCGAGCTGGAGACGCCAGTGCGACGGTGGCCCCACAAACCACCGCTCCTCAAAATTGGGCGCTTATGCTGTGTCCGCTGGTGGCGCGTGGGCGCCCGCATGCCGATGGGGCCTCGCCCCCGCGCGGCCCCGCGCAACGCTGCCGCCTCACTCGCCGCGCACCTGGCGCGATCACCACTCACCAGGGGCCTGGGAAGGGCGCGCAGACGGACGCGGTCGAGGAGCTGCCATTGCGCCGTTGTTGTTGGCGCCGCCGCGGCGCACAGACGGGCCCAGAGCTGCCGCGGCCCCTGCCGCAGCGCATGCACCGCTGCTGGCCAAGGCGCCCCCAGGGTCACTGGCAGTGCGCGGCCGCGAGGCGGCGGGGGCCCTACCTGCGGGCTCCGCATCGGGTTTCCGCTTCTCCCCAGCCGCGGTCGCAATGGCTTCAGCGAACGTGTGGAGGGAGACGCCGCAAAGCATCATCTGGCGATTGTGGTACTCCTTCTTGAGGCCTGCGCCATGCGCGCCCATAAATCGCGCCACGAGGGCCCCGCCCTGCCCTCTCCATGGGGTCGTGGCCTTCTGTCGGGGGGGGGGGCATAATAACCGCGCATTATGGTTTTGGCCAGCGTTGTCCCTGCGGGCAGGGCGGGGCCCGGCGGTGCTCTCTCCTTAGGGCCATGGCAACCCGGCGTTCCAAAAAATCTGGGCTCGGGAAATTCCTGGCGCACCGCAGCGGGTCGGATGGGATTTAGAAGCAGGCGGGACCCGATCGGCCGACCGAGCTTCCTAAGGCAAGCGCGGTTGTCCGGCGGAAGCGTCAAGCATATCCGCGCGACGCCGGGGCGCTCCTCGGACTCCACCCCGTCGCTGTACACCCCGACGCGGCACTGCCCCAGCCCTGCCTTCTCAGCATCGGCTGACCAACCCCTATCTCCACTGGCTCGGCCTTGACCCCTCTGGCCGATTTCCCCCCCTGGATGGGGATATGCGGGGCCCCCCTCGGGGCTCGCAAGGCCTATCCCCACCTCGGGGGAGTGGGCGGGGGGGGGGCTGGTGGATGGGCCACTTGGGATGGGTATCGATTGGGCGATGCTGACCGTCATCACGGCCTTCCAATGACCAATCTTGACGGACACAGCGCGCGCGCGGGCGCCTGCCTGGGGGATGTTTTTGCAAATGGAATCGCACGCGTCGGCCCCGTAGATGACTGCCTCCCCTCGAAGGATCCTTTTCTTCATCACCCCCCTGTCCTTGAACGCGACCTCAGCGTTATCTTCCGACTGCACGGACATCCCGGCCTCCCCGTAACCCACGTTAATGGACGGCGCGACCGGATCGCCGAACAACAAGAAATCCTGCGAAACGCCCGCTGGTGTGCCGCCGCTGCTTGCCGGCTCCGCGGGCGCTGCCTCCCGCGGTGGCCCCGAGCCATCCTCGCTGCCAGCAGTCATGGGCTCTGCTTCCGGCGGCATCCCTGCCATGTCGCCGCCCTCGGCCGCTGCCTCGATCTGCGCCTGGGGAGCGGCGGGCCCACCCTGGGTCATGTCAACGTCTGGCCACTCGGCGCGGGCCGCCAGCATGCGCGCTGACCCTGCTGCCCGGCGCGCGGCGGCGTCTCTGGCAGCCGGCCGGTCCTGCGTGGCCTCCCTGGCCTCTGGTACTCCGTTAGTCCTGATGCTCCGGTTCTGATGGAAGACGCTCAGAACCTCCCACGCGCGCACCGCGTGGTGCTCCTCAACGAGTGGATTTGGAACGGGAGGCACGGCCACCCCCTCAGCAGCCTCATGAGGAACCGGCAGGCCCCCCACTGCAATCTCCAGGAGCAACAGCGCCACTGCCATCATGCCGAGCAGCCACGGGCTGGATCCTGAGCTGCTCCTCGAATCGGCCATCCGATGAATCCCCAAACGAATGCGACGAATGCGCAGGGACCGCGGGCCATCGACTGTCTCTCTCTCTCTCCCTCTCCTCTCCCTCTCCCTCTCCCTCTCTCCCTCTCCCTCTCCTCTCTCTCTCTCTCTCTCTCCTCTCTCTCTCTCTCTCTTCTCTCTCTCTCTTCTCTCTCTCTCTCTCTCTCTCTCTCTCTCTCTCTCTCTCTCTCTCTCTCTCTCTCTCTCTCTCCTCTCTCTCTCTCTCTCTCCTCTCTCTCTCTCTCTCTCTCTCTCTCTCTCTCTCTCTCTCTCTCTCTCTCTCTCTCTCTCTCTCTTCTCTCTCTCTCTCTCTCTCTCTCTCTCTCTCTCTCTCTCTCTCTCTCTCTCTCTCTCTCTCTCTCTCTCTCTCTCTCTCTCTCTCTCTCTCTCTATCTCTCTCTCTCTCTCTCTCTCTCTCTCTCTCTCTCTCTCTCTCTCTCTCTCTCTCTCTCTCTCTCTCTCTCTCTCCCACGTCTAAGGGCCCGCATCGGGCGCCGACCAGTCGGACTCCACCCCGACCGCGGAGATCGCCCAGGCCCACGATCCCGCGGGCCCAGGGGCCCGCGCCAGGCTGACCGATGGCCTCTGAGGCCTCCGCCGAACAAAGCCGCATCGCCCTCGTGGCCCGCGCCCCGGGACGCGGCGCACTGCGCGTCCAGCACCGTCTGGAGGCCCGTGAACGCCAGGCGCGCATCTTCCGTCCAGTCAATGACCTTGTGGCTCTCCAGGAAATGGCTCAGCACGCAGTCTGCCATGGATTTGATGTCGAGCCCGTTCTCGATCGGAACGCCCCGGTTGGCGGCGCGAATTTCAGGCACAAGTTCGCCGCCGACCACGCGGAACCGAAGCTTGTCGGGCGGGGGCCGGGGATTCCGCCAAGCAGAGAAATCGGGAGAGAGCGCAGCAACGACCTCCCTTACGTTGTTCCCATACCCTCAGACTAGAAGGGGCCCAGAAGCCAGCCGCGTGCTTCCACGCGTCCGCGGATCTGCTGATTTTGCTCGACCACACTACACGTGGACGCCCCAGCCTCCAGACACAAGCCAATTCTACAGATCGGGAAACGATCCTGCCACACTCCACAAGCACATATGTAGAAGCAAAACGCAAATTCTACACTTGAAGACAACATCTGTGGAAGGGCAAAAACGCCAACTGCCTTGACACATCACACGAAGATCTGTAGAAGCAAAGCAAACTCTACACTTGAATACAACAACTGTAGAAAAGGCAAAACGCCAGACGTTTCTACACAAATCACAAGAACATCTGTAAACACAAAGCAAGTTCTACATTCCAAGACCGCATCCGTGGAAGGGCAAGTCTCCGAAGACCGTAGATCTACGCATCCGGGCATCTGCGGGGCCCATTGGCTCCCCGATGCTCAGTTTTCTACGCAGAGGCGACCCGAGGCCCTGCTGCCAACCTAAGACCTCCCTGGCCCCTCCCCCCTCCCCACGACGGATGTGACATTTCACGAGCTCCCCTTCCCGTGCCTGGTCGATGTTCCGTCGATGAGGGTGACCGCGTACCCGCGGCGATTGGGCAGGAACTCGCCGGGGCCATCCTCCTCCGGGCCCGAATCCTCCTGGGTCGCGCGGGCGGCGACGGGCTGCATCTCGCGCCGCGCTTCCTCGTAGTCGGCCGCTGCCTCTGGCAAGCCGAGGAGCCCCACGACGCCCTTCAGAAGCTTCGGCCACTTCCACCTCTTGAAGCCTGACGGCACCTCAAGGCGCCGCGGGCGTGCCGCATGGGGTTCCACCGGGCGACCAGACGAGAACAACAGACGGCGCGAGCAGGCCGCGGCGTCGCTGCCGAGGGAGCCCCGGAGCATCGGCACCACAATTGCAGGGCGTCCGTTTCCACTGATGCCGACCGAAACGGTGGGGGCGGAACCCTGCCCAAAGGCGCCAGCGGTCTTCGTGGTCATCTGAGCTGCGCCTGTTTGCAGCAGCTTGTTTTATTCGGACGCCCCGTCCGCAGCCGCGTTCTGGTGGTCCCCGCCTTTCCGCGCGGCGGCGCGCGCCTTTCAGTCTTCGCGCAAGTTCCCAACGGCGCCCTGCCCAGGGCAGGCCGCCCTGCCGTGGGATCCCTAGGCGCCGTCTTGTCGCCCGGGCCACCAAGGCAGGGTGGACTGCTCCCAGAACAGCCGCCGCCAGAAACCCCGCGCGCGCTCGCCAGCACAAGCCCCCGCCCACACCTTTCGGCGATTTCTGGGGAACCAAGCCCACCATCTTCAGGAACCGGTACGCCTCATCCAAGTTCACGAGCGTGCGGAAATACACGCGTCCAGAAAGGTCATGTAGCTCGTTGGGTTTCACTCGGTCCAAGTCGCCTGCGCACCGCTGGAAGAAGGCGGCCTCCGTGAAATGACGTCATAATCGATGACTCCACCCAGACAGCGCGGGCTGCCGCTTCAACGCCCTGCTGGTCCAAGTGCTCGGCCGCCAAATCACGCGCCAAACGCTTAGCCTTGTCAACGACGTTCTCGTCGATCTGGCGGCCAATTGCCATGCCAGCACGGTGCCCCGAACTCTTCCGAGTCTGTGGCTGGTTGATGCTCAGAACCGGAAGCGCCGCGGGACAAGGGCCCCCCGGGAAGATGGCTGCGAACGCACCGTTGGTGCAAGCACACAGCTGCGCTAAAACGCCCATCCCAAACGGGAACTCGTGGCGAGAGGCGCGCGATGCCAAGCGCAAGATCGCCTGGGAAGCTTTGCGCCCCAACGCTTCCTGGGAGTCATAGTCCTCGCCTACCACGTCATAGATCGCCTTCGTTCCAGTCGTCGCCAGTGGCCCCAGCGCACCTGGCTCCACTGCCCCGGCAGCTCCAGCTTATCCTCGACGTTCCCCAGCTGGACCTTGATGGCCCGGTCGTCCGCCGCTGCTTTCGACGAGTGGACGCGCCAGCGTCGCTCGGCCGCGCGGCGCCGAACCTCCGCGGGGGACGTCGCGTCTTCGTAGACGCGCACGTTGCCCGTCGCTGACGCCGCCGGCGCCGCCGCGGCCTCGTCGCCCAGCTCGAATTTGAACATCCCGCGGCCCCCGTGCACATCGAGAGCGCCGCGGACCTGCGTCCCCGAAGGGTCTGGACGATCCACCGCCCCTAGCTTGACCCGCAACAGCTGGCATACGAATGGGAAATGGCAGGTTGTTCCCATACCCTCAGACTAGAAGGGCCTTGAAGCCAGCCGCGTGCTTCCACGCATCCGCGGATCTGCTGATTTTGCTCGACCACGCTGCCGGTGGCCACACCAGCCTCCAGAGGCAAGCCAATTCTACAGATCGGAAAACGTTTCTTCCACACTTCCAAAGAACATATGTAGAAGCAAAACGCAAATTCTACACTTGAAGACAACATCTGTGGAAGGGCAAAAACGCCAACTGCTTTGACACATCACAAGAAGATCTGTAGAAGCAAAGCAAACTCTACACTTGAAGACAACATGCGTGGAAGGGCAAGACGCCCACTGTTTCCACACATCACAGGAGCACCTGTAGAAACAAAACAAGTTGTACACTTGAAGACAACATCTGTGGAAGGGCAAGCCCCCAAGGAACGTAGATTTACACATCCGGGCACCTGTGGAATCCATTGGCTCCCCGATGCTCAGTTTTCTGAACAGAGGCGATCTAAGGCCCTGCTGCCAACCTGTCGGAGGAGCACGAAAGCGGGGGGGAGGTGGGAGACGAGGAGGAACAGGAAGACAAAGGACGACGGGGGGACGAAGGATGATGACGGAAGAGGAGAAGGAGCACACGGATGAGATCGGAGGGGTCGGAAGCCCGGTTGATTCCTCATCTTGACGCCTGAGTTCATCACTCGCCTCACACACACACACACACACACACACGCACTCCTTATCCCGTGTTGCTGCTGCTGCTGCTCCTCCTCCTCTTTCTCCTCCTCCGCCTCCCCCTCCTATTCCGCATCCTCCTCCTCCTCCTCCTCCTCCTCCTCCCCTTCCTCCTCCCCCATCCGCATCCACACATTCCTCCTTCGATCCTCCTCCTCCTCCTCCTCCTCCTCCTCCTCCTCCTCCTCTTCCTCTTCCTCCTCCTGCTCCTCCACCTCCTCCTCCTCCTGTTCCTGCTCCTCCTCCTCCTCCTCCTCCTCCTCCTCCTCCTCCTCCTCCTCCTCCTCCTCCTCCTCCTCCTCCTCCTCCTCCTCCTCCTCTCCTCCTCCTCCTCCTCTCTCCTCCTCCTCCTCCTCCTCCTCCTCCTCGTCGCAAACGTCCTGATTGCTCAAGGTGCTCCTCCGGGTGCTCCGGTGCTCCGGGTGCCCCGGGTGCTCCGGGTGCTCCGGGGTGGGGGGTGTCCCGGGCGTCCCGGGTGCCCCGGGTGTCCCGGGTGGCCCGGGTGCCTGGGTCCGGGTGTCCGGGTGTCCCGGGTGTGCCCCGGGTCCCGGGTGTCCCGGGTGTCCCGGGTGTCCCGGGTGTCATGCCCCGGGTGCCCCGGGTGTCCCCCAATGCGGACACAGCGCAAGTCGCTGCTACTCCCACAAGTTATGTCTCTAATCGTCACTTCTCCACAAGTTTCGACGCCCCCTCGTGACCGCTCTCCTGCCAAGGACCTGACTCTTAAGAGTGGCGCCGCATATGTGAGGCGAGTCTCCTCTCCGGCTTCACCCGGGACACCCGGGACACCCGGGACACCTGGGACACCCGGGGCACCCGGGGCACCCGGGGCACCCGGGACACCCGGGACACCCGGGACACCCGGGGCACCCGGAGCACCGGGGCACCCGGGTGTCCCGGGTGTCCCGGGTGCCCCGGAAGCCCCGGGTGCCCCGGGTGTCCCGGGTGTCCCGGGTGTCCCGGGTGTCCCGGGTGTCATGCCCCGGGTGCCCCGGGTGTCCCGGGTGCCCCGGGTGTCCCGGGTGTCCCGGGTGCCCAGAGGCTCACGCATCTTGATAAAAAACCAGGTGTAGTTGATTATCATGCCGTTCGTGGCAATATCATGCCAATCTTCTTGATAATATCATATCACGTGAATCAGTGAGCGCAGGTTTGAGCCCATGCGTGAAGTTTATAGCACACGTTACCAGCAGAGGGTTGAGCCAAAATGGCTAAGAGAGGAAGCGGGGCTTTCCTTCCCCCTCCTCCTCCTCCTCCTCCTCCTCCTCCTCCTCCTCGTTTTCCCCTCCCATCGTCATCGTCTTTGTTTCTCGTTCTCACTCGCCTTCCTCTCCCTCTTCCTCCGCCTCCTCCGCCTCCTCCTCCTATTCCTTCGCCTCCTCCTCGTCGTCGTCGTCGTCGTCCTCCTCCTCCTCCTGCTACTACTCCGTCCTCCGTCCTGCTCCTTGCTCCGTTCTTTGTCCTCTGTCCTCCGTCCTCCTGCTCCTGCTCCTCCTCCTCCTCATCATCATCCTACGCCTCCTCGTCTTCCTCCTCCTCCGCCTCCTCCTCTTCCTCCTCCTCCGCCTCCTCCTCCTGCTCCTCCTCCTCCTCCTCCTCCGCCTCCTCCTCCTCCTTCCCATCCTCATCTTCCTGTTCCTCCCTCTCCTCCTCCTCCTCCTCCTCTTCCTTCTCCTCCTCCTCCTCCTGTTCCTTTTCCTCGTCCTCCTCCTCCCTCCTCCTCATCATCATCATCATCATCATCATCATCATCATCATCATCATCATCATCATCATCATCATCATCATCATCATCATCATCATCATCATCATCATCATCATCATCATCATCATCATCATCATCATCATCATCATCATCATCCGATCCCTCTTCCTCATTCTCCTCCTCCTCCTCTTCCTCGTCCTCCTCTTCCTCCTCCTCCTCCTCCTAGTTCCTCCTTCCGCTCCCTTCGCGTCCGCCCCATCCGCCTCCCTTACCCCTTTACTCCCCCTCGCTCGTCCCCCCTTCCTCCTACCCTCCCCCTTCCCCTCTCTCTTCCCGTCCTCCCCCTCCCTCGCGGCGGGGGAGTGGCCGCAGCCTGCGCAGTGACGAGCAGGTCGACGTGGGCGGGGGGCGGCGTGCCGCCGCAGCCGTCGTCGTCGTCGTCGCTGCCGCCGCTGTCGTCGTTCGTTGTTCGTCCTCTCCTTGCTCCGTCCTCCTCTTTGCTCCGTCGTCTGTCCTCTGTCCTCGTCCTCCTCCTCCGCCTCCTCCTCATCCTACTGTTCCCCCTCGTCCTCCTCCTCCTCCTGCTCCTCTTCCTCGTCCTCCTTGTCCTGATGTTCATGATGACGGTGTTGTGATGACGGTGTTGGTAATGATGTTCACGATGATGATAATAATGCTGTTGAGCATGATGACAATAATACTAATAATGATGATGATGATGATGACGATGATGATGGTGGTGATTATGACGATGTGTTTTCATCAGTCATCCTCGAAATAGCAGTGAAGCCATTTGAACAGGACGGAGTACGCCATTGTGGCTGGATGGCACCCCTCTGCGATGTCCACCATATGGCCGACGAGGTCCTCGTCGGCGTAGCACCACCAGTACCGCGCGTTGCCCGATAGGACACATTGTATTTCGCATAGGTGTTCCCACAGGTGAAGCTTTGGCGACATTTTCCACAACCGTTCGCCACGATGAAAGGCATCGACCGATAACTGTGCGTACAACTCTGCAAGTTTCTGCCCCAACCTTGGCAGCTCTGTCGTCGCATCCTCTGAACAAAATTGGGACTCTTGTGACAATATCTCATAGAAGCGGCACAGCAGTTCACATATTGCACGCACCCTATTGTCATGCACAGTTCCAGTACCAAACGCACGGACAACTTTCAAAGCATATCCAGCCATGTGTCGAATCGCAGCGGCTTTTCCTCGGAGTTTTGGCCACGACCCTTGTTTGCGAATATCTTCAAGCTTTAGACGGCCTCGTAGGCGACCTGAGCATTTTGTGTCCTTGTACCATCTGGCGAGGTCGTCTGCTAATCGTGACACACGGTCTGCGTAGGTGGTGCCGCCGAAGCAACCGCGCAGCACGCAGAATACGAAGAGGGTGTTGCCGATGATGTGAGCGGCAACGCCCAGATCGACCGTGTGCAGAACGTCGATCATTATGCACTCCAGTCTCATGCCAATCGCTTGGCTGAGCAGGACAGGAACTGCAAGACCAGACTCTCCCAAAAATTGCACGTAACCCTCATGGGTCCAAATTGTATTGCGCCAAGGGGCATCAGCATTACAATTTGTCCAAGACAGATGCCTGATAGTCGATGATGCACGGCACACGAAACACATTCTTTCGGCAGCGTTCCATTGAGGGAAATAGAAACACTCTTTGAAGAACGCCCAATCGCCCCGGCACTGGCACAACAAAGCTCGCCACTCTCCTGCTAACTGGCCTCCAGACTGAAGTACTGCTCGACCCCAAGGGTCGTGGGTAGGATGTTTGCCAGTTGATAGCGCATTCATTGACCATGCAAGTATTTTGAGTGCACAATCCAAGGAATCTGCAACCATATCATTCTTTCTCAATACTGTGAACACAAAGCGTTTGCGCACTGTCGGGCCATCACCTAATAACGAGTTCCAACTTATCGTGTACAAAGAGTCTTGTGCCGAGAACGCCCCAGCGTCCGCGTGCATGCCGATCGGAATAGAGCGGGGCCAACTCGCTTCAGGCAGACACGGATGATGACGCAGGAACGCACTACTTCGCATCCCGATCCAAAATTGGCGACAAGCCCCTGGCGGCCCAGACATTTTCGCTTTCCATTTTTCAGGGCATTCCGAAAAGAAGCTCGAGAAGAACTTGTGGGGAAGCAGGAAAGGATGCGGGGTCTTCCTGGAGCTGCGCGTCGGTATCTCAAACCAATCCATTTCGGGTGCCCCACGAGGCAAGCCCAGAGCAGATCGCATAGATCTGAAAATGTTCTGGGCGTGTCGGCCTGCAGTGCCCATGTTGGCCATCCTGTCGCAGCCGTCGGCCCCTTGTTTTGCGGCTCCCATCGAGATCTCTTGCACGTCTTTCGAGCTGAGCTTACCTTTCGCCCATCTTGATTTCAAAGCTCTGTTGAGAGGGAGCCGTGACTCTGCTGAACAACACGAACCTGGAATTGCCACAGTCTCGTCT